ATTGTGGTTGAGTTTTAGTTGTTCCACATTGGTGAAGAGTTGAAAGATTTAAAGTGAGAACCGTATTGTATGAATTGTGGTTGAGTTTTAGTTGTCCTACATTGGTGAAGAGTTGAAAATTTTGAACAAGATGAAGTGTATAAGAAAGGTGGATGAGATGTTTGTGTGTCAAATCATGGGATTTGCATCATAGGGTTGTCTTATTTTAGATGATCATCTTTGAAATTTATAACCATAGTTGAAATCAAAACCAACCAAATGGTAAAAATTATAGTGCAAATATAAAAGTGAAATCAAGAACGAGGACTATGCAACATGAGATTTGATTGTTCCTCAAATCTGAAATAAGGTTGACTTTCATCATCTTACATTGATAGAAGATGATGGATGCATAAGAGCGTGATGGAGCTTTGAAATCTATAACAATGGTTGAAACCAAAACCAAGCAATTGGTAAATTTTTTGTGCAAAACAGATGCAAATGATTCTTCTTTTTCGTAACAAGAGTTGTGATTATTGTAGTACTTATAATAACAAATGTAGTTTAAGTATCTATTATATCACTTATATATATATATATATATATATATATAATGAAATTAGTGACTTAATGGCGTGCTTTTATCTGATGTTAGTATTCTCCAAATCGTGATTTACAGTGTTGTATGGGGCGTTATAAATATAAATACAAATCAGAGTTTTCAGACAAATCGCACTTCCGCTCGAGTCGAGACTTTTAAGTTTTTTCTCAAATTAAGTCTTGATCACCGTGCAACGCATAGTAATGTTTTAAAACATGTTAAAAACATTTGTTTTGTATTAATCATTTAATAAAAGGTAATTTAATTTTATATATATGATTATTTATGATTTGTTTTTATAAATTACTGCTAAAGAATGAAATTCAATTTCATTACAAATCCTACCATATCACACAGACAAAAGATTTCAAATCCTTCAAAACCAAATTCATCAAACTAAATGCCCTAAGATCTCGTTTGATTTGCAGAAGTAGATTGGATTTGTACGGATTTATAATTGAATTTCATTCCTGTCTCGTGTTTGATGTGAAGTATTTCTCGGATTTGAAATCCCACAAACACAAAATTTGAAATTTCACAAGGATTATTGATATTCACTGAATTTGTATGTAATCAGTAATAATGCTTTGTTCAGTAATGATCAATTAATAAAAATATAATTTAGTTGGTTTTATAATTATTTATAGTCCTGGGACTTGTGGGGTTTCAAATTCGAGAAATCCTACAAACCAAAAAAACCACCTTTCAATTTTAAATCATTCCACAAAATTCAAATCTCTCAAAAGCATCTCATCAACTCGAATTAAAGGGTATTTTCAGTAATGCAGTACAAGATAGGACATGGTATGACAAAAACTCGTTGTCTCATATTTGGTGTAACAGTAGATTGAGATAGGACATTACTAAGTGGGACGTCAAAACAAGTTGAACAAAAAAATCAAAAACATAAGACAAGATTGATAAATTATTAACCTATTCATGTAAAATTAAAACCCTGAAACGTTATACAGATTTTTCATCTGCCTACCTCACTCTCACCTATTCAATCTTGTCTACATACCAAACACACGTTAAAATAGATTTTTCAAAACAATTTCAAGCAGCGGGTGACTACAAGGGTGGTGTCTGATTGGTTTGAGCTTGAGCTCCAAAGGTCAAAAGTACCAGGAGGTCTCAGGTTCAAATCCAAGGAGGAATAAAATTCCTCTTGTGGCCACGGAGGTTCAATTGCGGTGACTCCGGGCTATCTGCAAAGCAGGTGGTCGTCATGAAATTAGTCGGCTCGCATAGCGGGTTGGATATCCAAGTTAATAAAAAAAACCCTTAAACCACCTACCTCCATGATATTTGAATAATTTGATGATTTTTTAAATTTTAATTCATGAATTCCTATTAACCTGGATATTCAACCCGTTATGCGAGCTGATTGATCCCAAGACGACCATTCATTTTGCGGGTAGTCTGGAGTCACCACATTTGAACCTTCATAGCCACAAAAAAACTTTTATTTTTCATTGGATTTGAACCTGAAACTTTCAAACATTTTTAATCTTTGGAGTTCAAACTCAAACCAATTGAAAATCACCCCTATGGTTAATTCAAGAATTCATGAAAAAGAAGTGGGGTTGAATTGGACCATTTGGCAGTGGTCCATTAGCAACTAGAGAGCTTTGAAGATTGTGCTTACTGCTATAAATGCAATATCCTGAACTTTCCAGAAATTATAGACCTTTCTAAATTAAATGTACATCTATTATCTAATAAATCTACATCTATTTATTAATATTATTGTTATACATATTAATATAAAAAAATATTTTTTATATTTTTTAATATATGATTTGATTTTATTTTAATATAAATCGGTAAATACATAGCAACACCCAAATTAATAATTGTCCATCGACGCAAATGTTAAACGCAACACTCTCAGAGGTCGTTTATCAAACGCTTACCGAATGAGTGTTTATTGGCAATAATAACCACCTTCACTTACTTTATTGGTTAACATTTTCGGCCATCAAAATGGTTTGTTGGTAAGTGTCTATCACCCGGTAAGAGTCGTCACCCTCACTTCCGGGTAAGACTCTCGATTCCTATTTTGTCTTTTGTCGGGTAAGATTTTTGGTCATTGTTATGTTCACTCAATAAGGCAACTAAATAAGTAAGCGTTTACCGGTAAGTGTTCAGTAAACGACCCTTAAATTGTCGTAACATAAAGAGATTGGAATTTCCACGAAAAGGTCTCGGGTTTTGTCCCGTTTCATCCGGTATTCACTCTGTCATATGATACCAGAGACAGACCTATAAACTTTTTCAAGTGATGGTGTCATTTGATTATAAGAAACAAATATATGTATATTTTTCACAAAATCGTTATTCGTATATTGGTTAATTTGTTGATTTTCATAAGTGGCGTCCTAAGTTCAAGTCTTTTATTGCAAAAAAAAAAATCAGTAATATAATAAATCTGAAATTAAAAGATAAAACTAAGAAAATGAGACTAACAATATTCGAACTTGGTTTAAGATGAAAGAAAAGTTTTGCAAATATTATATATATATATATATAGGGGCCTATTCAAGGGAGAACTGAGTTGTTTGTGGTAACTGTGAGAACCAATATTAACCACAAATCAATAGATAAATTAGGAAACTGATAATTTTGGTAATTTGACTTAAAAATTCAATTAAAGGGCATTTTAGGTATTTCTAAAATCTTCTCTCTCCGGCGAACCTTATTCATCTCTCCGACGAACCTTATTCCGGTAAAGAAATAAAGAAATGTTGCACACTGTGATCCCCTTCGTAAATTAACGAAA